CCCACCACACACACACACACACACACACACACACACACACACACACTCTTCCACAAGGACAAGGTACAACTCAGCTTCTCTCTCCAAGGTGGTATCCCAATTCCACCTCAGCCAGGACATTTTTCTACCCGTTTTCTATCCCAAGCCACATGCCAATGCATAGGAGTAGAAGTTCTACTCATTAGATGTGTAGAGGCCGTTAGAGTTCTACACGGAACGCACAAAGCCTTTCAGGAAGTCAAACCAGCTGTTTGTAGCAATGGCAGACCAGAGAAGGGACTTCCGGTCTCCTCACAGCACATCTCTTCCTGGATTACGGACTGTATCTGTGCCTGCTATGACCTCGCCAAGGTCCCAGCCCCAGCTATAATGGCTCACTCGACAAGGGCTCAGGCCTCTTCCACCACTTTCCTGGCCCAGGTGCCCATCCAAGAGATCTGCAGAGCGGCTACCTGGTCCTCGGTGCATACCTTTGCCACCCACTATGCCATCGCACATCTGGCTAGAGATGATGCAGCTCTCGGTAAAGCAGTGCTCCAGTCAATGATTTCCTTAACTCCAACCTCACCCCCGTGGGAGAGCTTGGGAGTCACCTAATTGGAATTGACGTGAACAATCACTCGAAGAAAAAAAAAGACAGTTACTCACCTTCTTGTAACTGTTGTTATTCGAGAGGTGTTCACGTCCATTCCAATACCCACCCTCCTTCGCCTTTGTCGGAGTAGCCGGCAAGAAGGAACCAAAGGGGGGTTGGGTTGGCAGGGTCATATATTGAGAGCCATGAGGGAGCCACTCCAGCGGGCTTCCAGGCCGACCTGATGGGAGCTGCTAAGGGAAAAAGTTTCTGATGACCATGCACTCAGTGCACGCACACCTAATTGGAATGGATGTGAACAATATCTCTCAAAGAACAACAGTTACAAGAAGGTGAGTAACCGTCTTTTATCTTCATATACTTACTAAGCATTATTGCTTAGATTTGGCTTTTAAACAGGAGCAGATTTAATTTACTAGTATTACAGAACCTTTTCCTGGTCTAGAGGGTACACAAGCTCTCCCTTCCCATAAAGTGATTTAATTTGGCTAAGTTGAGTCCCAAAGGAGAAGATATACTCAGGGAGTGTTTGGGAAAGGCTGTTTGTGCAAAACCCAGCTAAAGTGTTACCTGTGAGGTTCTGAGATGTTAACATTTTAGTAATGGAAGAAAAGTTCCCATGGCAAAATAAATGGCACTACGGCTAACTTTGGGGTAAATGAATTAGTGCCAGACTGGAGAGATGCTGTGGCATTTACTATTACACAAACTGAAATTCTGCATTTTGAGTAAAATACTTAGGGACCAAATACATATATAGAATGTTTAGAACAGTGCTTGACTGTTCCCAGCTTTGTGCAGGTATACAGGGGGGTGGAGATAGAATACAAGGATCCTTCATTTACTAGTGTCCCTGGTCTGAGGATGAATACAAGGACTGTTCTAAGATAATTCTGTTAATAGTGCTAGCTTCCCAGAGTGGAAAGGAAGAATCCAGGTCCTCCAATGTTTTATACACTCTGCTAGCCCAGTTCAGGCAGAGTGAGCATCTTGTCAAATAGTACTGCAGTAATTGCACTCTAGGAGGCACTGTATATGCCTGAAAAACAATATTACCTGAGGTTCCCACTAGGGTGGTAAATCTCCTCATAGCTGTCTAGCATGGGTTGGGGCTTAGAACTACATTTGGATAACCTCAAAGTATGCTGTCAATTTGTAAAAGCAACACGTGTTTACATCATAATTTTAAGTCTGAATAGCTCCTAGAGGATTAAATAATGCAGGATGCACAATATGGAAATGCAGTTACAATGCACAAGACTCCTATTTTTGATGAACAAGCCTCACTACTCTTAGCTATCAGCTACATGTATCCTTAGCACGTTATCTTTTAGTAATAATATTGTACTAACTGATTTAATTGTGATGGTTAATGTTATTTCTCTGGATTTATAGAAAAATAAAAAGTAGCACTCAGAGCACTAGGCACGCTTACCCACATTACAAGAACAAAAAACACTAAATAGCTGACTCCCCCAGCTCTGAAAGTCAACAGAACTTTACTGCTTACAGAACAATAAAAAATTAAAGCTAACTTAAAGGTTAACTGTGAAGATGTTTGTCTGCAATATTCCAAAAGAAGAAAAGAGCATATGGTTGTTTTCATGTAATTTAACACTATACTTTAAACAAAAGTTTAGATCAATTATCTAAGACAAAAGCAAGCTAAAAAGATAAATTTTTAAATATGGTTTTTCTCAGAACGGTGCTAAAATGATTTCCACAGTTTCCCTAGCCAGATTAGCACTAACTGTGCTATCAATCTCTTCACAAACTATAGACTATAGTGCTATAGACTACAGACTGGTCCTGGAAAAAAATATCAACTGTATTGTGCTTTTTTTGCCTTTTATGGTGTATGCTTAGATAAAACAGGTTAGTTTTTAAACTTAAGGCTTGTCATAAACTTAGCCTTATGAATGCAAGGTCCTTTTAAACCAACCAATTAAAAAAAAATATATCTTAGACAAGAGTAATTGCACATCACTTTCTCACTAGCCATGCAAAAGTAATTTATTTTAATAATACTCAATTATAAATTACTTGTGAACCAACATCTCCTTTCAATACAAGGGCATCTGTAAAGGAAATCCATTGAGAGTGAGACATATTATACAACACACTTACACACACACTACATTTTTCCTATTATAATATTAGCATGTTCTTAAAAAGAAAATCTTCCAACATTATGACTGGGAAAAAAACCCTCTGCATATGACTATAACTTTATTTACAAACAGTGCTGAAAAATATGGATTATACCATTTTCTGATAGCTGGCACATTTCAAGTCTTTGCGGAGCAGAAAATATAAGTAATTTGTTTGCTTCTTCCAATGCACTTGTATACCATTTCTTTTTTCTCTTGCATTGTTCTGGCTATGGAAATAAAAAGAAACTTTTACTAAATATCTTACCGTTACTCCATTTTTCTACACTTTTCATGAGTCAAAAAAACAAACAAAAATATAATACTTCAAAAATATTAAATGACTAAAAAAGAATTCTAGACAGCAAAGCATTTAGATTAACTCAGAGAGGTTCAATTCAAGATAAATGCTCCTGTATCTATTTCTTGTAAATTACTCTGGGTGCAAAAGGATAGAAATTTTCTAGTATTTTTTTTTTGTAATTGGGCCCCTTTCAACATAGAACGTGCATTCCAAAGTCCTGCAGAGAGCCCAGTTCTGTAGCTCTTTATTGTGTTTAACTTCCTACTTAATGAAATCAACATTTCAAGTCTATGCGGACTGCAGATTGAAACCCAAAAATGATCTTCATTCACCAGAATACTTACAATATCATTCATAAACCCTTTATGAAGCACTCCTATAGAAAGTTTATCCTGATCTATAACAAGATGTGACTACATAATATTTAATTTTTATCTGAAAAAACTACCTGACTACAGTATTAATGCAGTCTTGTAAAAATGTACTAAGCCAGGAAATACCTACTATTCCAGTCTGTGTTTGTAAGATTTGTGTAAACTTTGCAAATGTAGCCTACTTGTATTGGGAGACAGGAAGTGCTCTCTGAGCTAGTTATTTGGAGAGGAGAAAGTGAGATGATGTGGTGATTGTGTGGGTAAGCAGAAGGAAGGAAGAAGAGAGAACATGCGTTTGTGGAAGGAGGATGTGGTGATGCTGGAAGGAGTGCTGCCACTGGGGGAAGGTGAAATGGTAGAGGCACCAAAAGGATGCCACACAGCATGATTAAGGTAGGTCTGTTGAAGACTCTCTTGAGGCTTCTTGGATATCCTCCTCCAGCTCTTTGTAGCCTTGATCTATCCTCACCTATATTTAGGGTGACCAGACGTTCCGATGAAATCGAGACTGTACTGATATTTCATTGTTTGTCCTGCATCCCGACCAATGTATGGTCAGGACACTATTTGTCCCGATATTTTGCACTCCAGCTTTTTTTTTTTGCTTCGGCCCGCCCCCTATGTGTCCCAATATTATGTTCTTGTCATCTGGTCACCCTACCTATATTCTGGATGCTGAGCTCTAGGAAGAGAATGAAACACTAAGAAGAGTACAGATGACTGCATTTTGAGAGGGCTACTAAAGGCAGCTCCTAGAGGAGCTGGCAGCACAGTCTACAGATTAAGCACCAGATTCTACCCAACTGCTCAAGTAATTTACTTGCTGTGGATGAGTAGAAGCGGCAATACTGCATATATGGAAACACTGAACATTTTAAATGCAGAAGTGATTGAAAAGAGAGGTCTGAGAAAAAATGGTTACTAACCTTTCTGTAACTGTTGTATTTGAGATACATTACTTATGCCCATTCCAATGTAGGTGTGTGCTCGCCCCGAGCACAGCCGCCAAAATTTTTTCCCTCAGTAGTATTCATTGGGTCAGCTCTGGTGCCCCTTGGAGTTGCGCAGTCATAGCGCCAGTATGAAGGGTCCTGCCAAACCACAGCTCCCTCATCTCCTTCTTGCCAGCCAACTCCAATAGAGGGATAGGAGGGAAGGTCTTGGAATGGACAAGAGCAACACATCTTGAAGAACAAGTTACGGAAAGGTTAGTAACCATTTTTTCTTTCTCGCATGCTTGCTCATGTGCATTCCAATATAGGTGACTCCCAAGCAGGTGCAGGTGAAGGGTTCAGAGTTTATTGACATGCTGATTGCAACACGACTCGGCCAATTACATCATTGTCTCTAGCCTGTTGAGTGATAGCGTAGTGAGAAGCAAAAGTGTCAACTGATGACCACATTGCTGCTCTATAAATGTCCTGCATAAGAGCTTGTGCTATGGATGCTGCCAAAGATGCTTGGGCCCTTGTGGAATGTGCTATCAGGGCAGGAGGGGCAGGGACCTTTGCCAGGTCATAGCATGTGCAGATGCAGGGTATGATCCATGATGAATTTCTCTGGGCTGAGACGGAAAGACCTTCCATTCTGTCTGCAATGGCCATGAATAGCTGAGTAGTTTTCCGAAATGCAGGGCCGGCCCACGACATTTTGGCACCTGAGGCAGGGGGCTCAAATAACACTCCCCATGCCACGTCCCTTGGGCCAAAACTTTGAAAGGTCTCAATTCTGCCTTCTTCCTATTCTATTCCTCTCATGGTACTGCTCTGCTACCTACCCCAATAAAGGAGAACTAACAACTTAAAATGCCTTGTTCAAAATTTTTAAGTAACACGTAACTTTCAAACGCCTGAACAGCAAATGTAACTTTTCTTGTCTGCAAAGTAAACACTGGCATTTTTATCTGTTTGATTATTCAAAGTGGTGCTTTCTGTGGCTTCTTGGTTGCAAAGATTTGAACTGCTTCCTGAAGGTCCACAGTCTGGGCCAGCTCATGCTCTATTGAGATGGTTGCAAGGCCAACCAGCCTCTCCTGTGTCATTGTGGAGCATAGATGTGTTTTTATTAACTTCAGCTTGGAGAAGCTGCGTTCTCCAATGGCAACTGTTACAGGAAGTGTTAGAAGTATGCACAGAACAACAAAAGCATTTGGAAAGAGGGTGGTCATCTTATTTGTGCACATATATTCCAGAACAGCCTTTGGAGTTGATCCTGCTGAAATGTATCTTGAAAGGGCTTTCAGTTCATCACCTAAATCACTCGCATCAATATCGCACATGTCATCATGTGTCAACACGGTCTCTAGTGCCCTGCATTGCTGGTATAGGTCTTCTTCAGGTATAGTAACGAGTTTGGGAATATCATACAACATCCCAAATATACTGCGGTGTTCCTTGAGCTGCATGAAACGTTCAGCTGACTGTATTGCACAATCTAGCACCTGGTTAAAGAATTCAACTTTGAATTGTTGTTTGGGGTCTCTTATGGGATTATCCCGTGCCTCGTAATCAAAATGTCATCTTCATCCGTGATGCTTGTATTCTTGAATGGGTGAGAAAATAGCTTCAGTGTGAAGTTCCTCTGCCAACTTTTGTGCACTCTTCAGAACGTTTTGAAATCCCTCATCTGACTGGAAAGGCTGTAGGTATGACTTTGCTTTGTCCAGTTGTTCCATTGCTCCAGATATATCAAGGTCAACACCTTGGAGTCTCTTGCTTACAACATTTATTTCAAACAGTATGTCATGCCACAACACTAAGCCCCACAGAAATTTGAAGTGATTTATGTTTCTGGTGATTCCATTTGCCTCTGCCACTGTTCTCCCACGAACAGTTCCTGTCATAGCATTATCCTCCATAATGGCAATATGGCATCATCTATCTTCCCAATTTGGTGTTTAATAGGCTTTATCGCCTCCACTCGACTTTCCCATCATGTGGCACTCAGTGGTTTCAGTGTCAGAGAGGATATTCCCAGATGTTGCTTCAAAATTTGCCATCGATGAGTTGATGCAGAGAAAAACACATAAATGCTTTGAATTACATTAAAAAATTCAGCAGCCTCACTAGTAGCTGATGCTGCATCACTGACCACCAAGTTCAATGAATGAGAACTGCATGGGACAAAAAAAGCTCGAGGGTTTAACTCTTGGATCCATGTCTGCACTTCTCTGTTCCTTCCTCTCATGTTGACACCATTATCGTAGCCCTGACCTCTCGTGTCAGCTATCACAATTCCCATATCTTCCAGCTTTTTAAGAAGCACATTTGTTATACCAGCTCCTGTAGTATTATCAATGTCAATAAATTCTAGAAAATGCTCTCTGACAGTCACCATTGCAGGGACATTTTCACTAGATTCGGTTGTCGTTACAAAACGCACCATTAAATTCATTTGTTCCGTATGGCTGATGTCAGGTGTGCAGTCCAGAATAACAGAGTAATATCTTGCGGACTTCAGATCTGCCAGAATCTTCTGTTTGACTTTTGTTGCCAGTAACTGTATGATCTCATTTTGAATTGTTTTTCCAAGGTAGTGGTGTGTGTACATTTCTTGGGTGGTGACTCTTCTTAGATGCTGTATTCGAGGAGCATCTAACTCAGTCATCAGCTCCACAATTTTAAGGAAGTTTCCATTGTTTGGCACATACCGCTGATCTGAAGTGCCACGCAGTGCTAGGTTTTGGGTAG